CCCCAAACTATGTCTCATCATTCTTTCCAGCCTTATCATCCACACCGTTTCGTACTCCATGCTCTATTCCATAAGTAAATTGAACTTACTCTCCCCTGAACATACTATATGCTCCTGAGGTTTTGTCATAGATTTATCAGAATTGTTACCTCTTCTAGGTTGCTGGAGTGGCTGCTAAATCCACTCGGTATACACTCTTTGTTAGCCCAGTATCCATGAATATATCTCACTCCACCATTAAACAGTAAGCTCCGTGAATCCATCACATCGTACTTAACCATTTAGGTACCACGGTACCAAACTTCATGACCTGAAAGTGCATGATTGGTAAGAGCTCACTCATATTCCTCCCTTTATTCATAATCCCTCCTTTATTAATTTTTTAAGATCTACCTCAAATTTCTTCTTTCTCAAATTGTTGACTGTCCTCTCCAACTCCGTTTTTCAGATGATGGAGAAAGGTAGAGCTTCCAAGAGCAACAAGACTAAGGAGTCTGTTTACTTGTGCCTTCCTATTACCCATCCTGAGCTTTTTTCTCCTGTCACTTTCTTTTGCTGATAGGATTCCCCACAGCCACCATCATGCTATGCTACCATGTTCTGAGGCCTTAAATCAGAAAGAGTTAAGTCATGGTGTCTTTCTCCTATGATTCCATCAACTTTAGCCAGGGTTCCGACATTATGGCTGATTGATTTTTATAACTTTGACCCTCCCCATCAAAACTGCCAACTTCTCAAATTGATTTCATACATACAAGGAGAGATTAAGCATTCTCAAGCCGTAAGATACTACTGATTAACCTAAATGAAATGAGAAGAGATAGCATTTCATTTACTTTATGGACGCTATTTGGGACAGTTAGAACTTTCCAGTTCTTAAATTGGTTCCTTTGATAATCTGTAAGGCTGGCCTTTGCAATGGAGATCACAAAGGCACAGGTTCTTCGCCTCTGCCCATTCCATCAGAGACCAGAAGGGGGTGTCAGTTATTCTTCCATTTTCCTCCATTTCTTTTTCTCATCAATTTTCATTTAAACTCGCAAAATTCAGCCATTAAGTCTAATATAAATAATGATGGAAATTATTGATATGAATTATTTTGACCACTTTATATAATTTATAATAATTTTTAGATTTTTTTCAAAAATATCTTAGGTCATTTGATCCTCACCACAATCTTGAGCTTAAGGTAATATAGGCATAACCTTACTACTTTTCTGGATAGAAATATCTTAGGTCATTTGATCCTCACCACAATCTTGAGCTTAAGGTAATATAGGCATAACCTTACTACTTTTCTGGATAGAAATGAGGTTCTGTGAGGTGAAGGATCAAATCCAATATCACACTCCAAGTATTCTGGCTTGGAGTTTGGAACTTTCCCTCTCACCGCAGTGTTTCTCACTGATGTAAGTACAATTGCAGCTGAGAACAGCAGCTGATGGACAAGTTCTCAGCCAATCTAAACTGAGGAACCCAACAGACATCGCTTTTTAGACTTTGGAATTTCTTGACATGGACAGTCCTCACGGGATACAAAGCCTTCACCCAATAGTGAATCCAGACATTATCAGTGAGTTCTCACAATAAATTTCTGCTTTACTCTATTGCCCTTTCTAGGATCCTGAAATTAGTTCTTAAACTGAGTTCTCTTCATATTCACTCCCAATTGATTTCTGCTTATTTTATCTTGGTAAAATTTCTCCCAAGTTTTTCTCCTAAGGAGAAACTACCCATATACTCAACCTTAAGAAGGTCAATCTCCACACAAGTCTTACCCTCCAGAAGCCCTACTCTAATAGGAATTGGACTTTGAGATCAAATGCTATTCCCAAGAAATCCAGCATTGCAAATACAAATCATTACATGTCTCACTGCACCAACAAAAGTTTAGAATTATCAGGGACTATTACAACTAATCAGTCTTAAATTTAACTAATCCAACCCAGAAATTTTATATCGTGTTCTAAGCACATAACTTATACCCCTGAACCTCATCATAGGAAGAAGAAAGATAAAAGAGCAGAGATTCCGCCATCCAGTAATTCTACTGTTATTCATTTTATATACTCAGTTCTATACAGTAATTCCTTTGCAGGGGGTGGGATAGTTTTCCTTTCAAAAACTGCTTATCTAGTTCAACCCCCATATCTTGTAAACACTGAAATGGAATTACAGAGAGATCGAATGTTCTGCCTAATGCTGACAAAGTTCAGAAGTCCATCTGCTATGTCCACTGTTCTTCCTATTACACTATGTGATTGATGAGACGACCTTCATTATTAACTGAAAATCTCCATGAAGATGTACTAGTGTTAAGCATATGATATGACTGCAATAAGTAGTTAAACTTGTGTTTGTACACATGTATTTTAAACAAATTATCTTTAACATTCTTGTATATTCCCATACTTACAAGCACAATGGACACTCAACACCATTAGGTGGTACAATGAATAAATAAGAAAAACATCACATAAGTTCTAATGCCATACTTTTTTGTCTCATCATGATGACAAAGCTTAATTATCTCTTCAAAGACCCCAAATGGGGTCACTGTTGCATCCAGTCATCTCTTTCAATTTAGAGTGAAAGGAGTACTTTGAAAGGTAAAAATGATTGTCATCAATTAATATATAGTTGAAAATATTGATTTAAAATCTTGTATGCTTTTCTTCAGTGTGAGTAATAAAAGAAACACATCAAGTGACTCACCTGACACATGGTATCTGGAAGTATACTGACACATTTTTCCAGAATGTAGAACAATTCAGAAACTTCTGCTGGTCATGCTATGTTTGTCAATTTCTATGGCACAGGCTGACTTCTGCTTATTATTCAATACCTACAAGTCACAATCTTGTGACATAATTTATCTCAATCTAACTGCTGAAAAAAATCAATAAAATAATGCCCTGTCTGCCTTTAAATATTCTCTAGCTCAGTGACTTATCAAAAAGTATGATGGGAAAAACACAAAACTTAGTAACAAAGCATTAGCATTAATCTTTCAGATGACTAAAATAACTGTTGGTTGTTTAGCTATTGCTCATCTAATGATATCTCCAGAAGTAATAACAATTGTATATTTAAACAGCAGAGTAAATTCTTACAAAAAAAAACACAACAACTACAAACTGAAAATAAAATTTTAGAGTCTGTCAGGTGTTTTTCAGGTGAGAACCACTACTTAAAATAATATATAAATGAGCAGAACTAATTAAGTTAACTATTACAAAGAAGAAGAAATGAATTAAGGTAAGTGAATACCTTTTTGCTTTGGGTAGGAGAGTTTTCAAGAGTAACTATGTTTCACATGCAATAAAGTATTTAAATTTTATATCATATTTCCATATATTTTAGGAATTCCTTTATATGTGCTATTATATATAACAGTGATGCACGTAATGCCTTAGAAGATGCTATTACTGAGTGTCTATAATTATCAAAACTAATTTTCAAACATATATCAAAAAGTATGATGGGAAAAATACAAAACTTAGTAACAAAGCATTAGCATTAATCTTTCAGATGACTAAAATAACTGTTGGTTGTTTAGCTATTGCTCATCTAATGATATCTCCAGAAGTAATAACAATTGTATATTTAAACAGCAGAGTAAATTCTTACAAAAAAAACACAACAACTACAAACTGAAAATAAAATTTTAGAGCCTGTCAGGTGTTTTTCAGGTGAGAACCACTACTTAAAATAATATATAAATGAGCGGAACTAATTAAGTTAACTATTACAAAGAAGAAGAAATGAATTAAGGTAAGTGAATACCTTTTTGCTTTGGGTAGGAGAGTTTTCAAGAGTAACTATGTTTCACATGCAATAAAGTATTTAAATTTTATATCATATTTCCATATATTTTAGGAATTCCTTTATATGTGCTATTATATATAACAGTGATGCACGTAATGCCTTAGAAGATGCTATTGCTGAATGTCTATAATTATCAAAACTATTTTTCAAACATATTCTAACTCAGGAATCAAAACTTACCTGACATATCACATCACATTTACTCACAAATGCTGCAATAATGTTATTCTCATTTAAGATTATTTCTAACAATTATCTGTATATATAAGCACACATATTTCATTTACATACATTTTTGTATTTGAAAGCATATCATATATGTGGAAAAATGTGTCAAACCACATTTTATAAATTTGGGAGATAATACCTTACATTTTGACACTCCCCCAAAGAGCTGAAATTCAAGAATACTGAGTTTATATATTTTTGCAAACTACCTTTAATATTTTTGCCCTCATTATATGTTATATAAATATAAAGGGTTGTCATGCAAAAGTTCCATATACCCTGGTTCTTCATTAAATAGAGTAAGTATAAATAGACATATAAAATTACAAAAATGAGGATATATAAGCTTTGCAATTATCTGTCTTCATGGCTTGCATGTCATTATAATCTAATGGATTTTATCACAGTAAGAATCGGCAACTAGCAAGTTAAAATACACACGTATACACACATGTGCGCAACCAGTAAAGATGTACAAAAACCCTAGATCATGCAAGAGGTGTACAAGGCCTCATTTTGGCTATTTCTTCCATATTATACACAAGCAATATTATATTTGGAAAAATATTTTAGAAGTGCTTTCTTTAGATGTATGTCTTTCGTGATTTTTGTTGTTGTTGGCCTGCAGCATGCTATTTGTTACTGTACTGTAGGTTACCCCTGAAAAAGTACATGGTAAACCAGTGCAGAACGCAGTTCTAGAAGAGCTGTGCCAGGAAAAACAAAATGGCAGAGAGAGAGAGACACAGGGGCTAGGGAGGAAGAAAGGGAGAGAGACTGATATCTCATGAGATTCAGTGGTAAAATTTCTTTAAATACATTTTGGCCTTCATTTTTCTTTTGAAAACTTTGCTGTGGGGGTGGCCTGCCCCCTTCAGAGTACTGCGCAACCTTCGCAAGAGACCATTTATCACTAGTTTCCACCTTGGAGCAGATCTTCCTACCTTTCCAGTCTTAATTCTGTGAGAAATGGCTGCAAATCGATGGTTGAGCTCTGAGATTTTGGGCTCTATTACTTTCCTGCAGTGGTCGCCGCGGTTCGCCATCAAGTTTGCTGCTTGGTCACGCGTGGAGTCCACCTTGGGACGTATGTCATTCAGCTCAGCCTTTAAACGCTATATTCCGTGAGCAAGAGACAGGGCTTGGAGTTAGTAATTAAATGGAGGTTGAAAGAGACCGAAAGAATGAGAAAGCAAAAGAGAGGGGGGAGGGGAGAAAGAGGGAGAGAGAACTAGAGAGAAAGAGAAGGAAAAAGACACATGCAGAGAAAACCAAGGGAGGGAAAAGCCAACTTCCATAAAACAGGAGTAAAGTGAGAATGTGTGATCGCAGGAAAATAGGCCACTGCCCTTGCTTCCGTTTGAGCTAAGTTTATTTAAAGCATTTCCTTAGTCTGAAGAAGGACGAGGGATGTTTTCCTGATTTTTCTATGTTGCCAGCAACAATTGTTGTGTCTTATATTTAGTCGTACCTTTCCTCAATTTCAAAGCTGTGGAACAACTTTAACACATGCTCAGAAAGAAAGGGAGCTGAAGAACAATTTTCTATTCCTTCCAAGGACTTAGGAATTCCCTTTTGCTTTATCGTATCGATTGTCACAGGAAAAAAAATGGATTTTCTAACAGATAGGGATTCTGTGTCACAGACAGTGCCTGAGGAAAGCTGAGCCTGACGGAGGGGGTTGGAGAGGCTGTGAGTGAAATAACTCAGTTCCTATTTTTCCAAAGACCCTGAAGGAATTTTTCTGTAAGGTGACATCCCTCACCTACACATCCAGGGAGAAGGAAGAACAAAAGAAGGTACAGACAATAGAGCAAGTATGTTTAGGGCACAGACTGCAATACATTTATAGTTTTTCATTACAAATGAATTGCAATCTGTAGAAAATATTGATTTCATAAAAAAATGAACAAATCAATTATATAGACAGAAGCTACAGTGTTTGAGGATTCTTTAAATAGTAACCCACTAATCAAATAAAATTATTAAAAATTTCAACAAAACAGAGGAAGGCATTGTTTAGTTTATGAGATTTGTTCAAATGTAATTCTCCCTATTTAATTGGAAAAGATGTCATCAAATAAATACAATATGCCATTAATATGATATATTTGCATATTATAACTCTCATATCTTTTTACGGGAACCATTTTTTTTTTTAAGTAAAGACTAAGTTGCAACTAAGAAAGACAGCTTAGGATGTCCTAATAATTGGTTTTGACACCAAAAGGGAGAACACAAAGCCATGTCTACATATAGTTAAGAATGAAAAGTTCAGTTTTACGTAAGTCAGTATTGTTACTAAGATTTAGACCTTGTATAGGCAAAACATATACAGATTGGACTTCTGGTGTTTATTCAGATGGGCTGTGAATGATGCAATGAAACTAATCATCTTTGTGTTAGGCACAGGCACTAACTAATACTAAAATTGGCATGATTTGCCATAGAACACTAAAATAAATCCAAGAATTCTTTTCTTATGAGGTTTTTAAGTTGTGTGTAATTAGCTGACAGATCAATATGGACAGATATCCAGATCACAGAGCTCTTCCAAGTCATGAACTCTCATTTGAATTAAAGAAGTAGGGAGGGAAGGAAAGAAGGAATTAAGGGAGAAAGGAGAAAGGGAAGGAAGGAGGGAGGGGGAAAGGAAGAGAGGAAGATGTTTTTCACTCTTAATAAGAAGGCACTGGTATCTTTTAGGACAAAGATGATTAATATACCTGTTGTGTAGTGTGAGCATTACTAATCATAAGAGTTTATTTGCTACCTTTAGCATGTCTTCTTTTTGCTGTGGTTTCTTTTTCTCAGATTCATCCAGAAGTGCATCAGCCTGAATGATCCACTTTGTGATATGATCCACATTCTGGTCAAAGGTTTCCATGTGTTTCTGGTATTCCTTAATTTTACAGAGACAAACCATGACATAGTATTAAGCAGACAGTATTTTTAAGTATTTGTCCTACTTGCCTCAATTCTAAAATACAAAAATGTAGTAGCATTCAAATTCCTTTTAGGTGCAATCTCCATACAGAATGTAAAGATGGAAAAATATATTGTAGATATTGAATAAGAACCAACATTTACATGGAGTTGAGGATTTTGTGAACATAAAGACTATTATTGAGAGCTGATATAATGTCTTTCTTATGATAGAGAAGGGTTGAAAATCTTTTATCCTCTTCTCTTACCAACAAAAGGTTTAGCCACTCTTCTGCTCGAGAGGTGACGGCTATCCAGTTACTATTCAAAAGACTCAGCTTATCTTCGACCAAGGTCTCCTTCTTGCCCAAAACCGTTTTCAAGGCCTCTCCTAGCTCGGTAATGCTCTTTAGGTGAACCTTCTGTTTCTCTGTCTCTTTCTGAATAGCCTGTAGAAAGAACAGCATTTGAGCCTCACATAATATATTGCAGTCTTAAGATTTAATGCTTTTGAAATTACTATGCATCTAGTTACTATGGTAAGATTTTTCAAGGGTTTAAACTTTCAACCATATCTTTGGGAATGATGAAAATCATATCCTATATATTGCAGTTCTTTACTGGGTATATATGGATATGCATTTATACATAAACATGACTGATGTCATATTTATGATTATTTCCACTTAATAATAAGCATACATACTATCAATCTAAGCATATTTATATTTACTTAATTGGTATATGTATTGGATAAATGTAGATCTTGGAAAACCTATCCACCAATAAGCAACTGCTTTTAGAAAATTCAGCAACTTTTGCTCTCTTGAAATGCTATAGCAGGAATTTGTAGATTTTTAGTGCCACAAAACTGTTTGGCATCTGGCAAAACTCAAATATCCCTTTTCATAATAATGTTTTTAAAAGCATAAAATTAGATACACTAGATATTAAATAAAAATAATTATACTGCAATAAAAAATAGAAAATATATATATATTTTTTTAATTTGTGAGGTGGCAATAAATATTTTCTTTCCTAACATGTGTAACTATAACGATCTAGCAACAGACATTTAAGATAATTTCAAAGAAGTGATTAGCACAACTGGTGTTTTGAATTATACTGAATGACTAGAATGTCATATAAAATTATCTTTCATAAATTTATCTGTTACTGGTGGTAAATTCACAGGAACTACTGATATCACTAGGGTTTGCTAGTCACACACATAACTGAAAAAAATGGTTAATTTCAGTTAGAAGTAAAGAGATACTATTAAAATCCCTAAGAGAGCACCAACACTTCCTAAGACTTGATTTTCAAACCCGAAAACAAGCACATTCAATATTAGAAATTATGTAGAGAGTTGATGGGAAATTGATGCTAGTACAAATGTTCACTGTCAGCTCTATCTACAGCCCTTTCTTGTGACACGTCGCGGTGGACCACGTGACCCTTTTGCATTTCCCTGTCTCTACTCTCCCCCCTCCCCCACCCACTCCCCCATCTCTCCCTTACCCACATACAGTTGATGGATATTCCCTGGTGGGTAAGTTTGAGCCAAACAGATACTCTCTCAAGAAGTTTAACTAAGGGATACAGAAAGTAGGGTAACACCTCAGCTGAGAAATCATTTGGAATGAAGCTGATGTCTTTACCATAGCAAGTCAAAGCCATAGGAGGACAAATTCTTACTGGGAAACAGCAGTGACAAGAACTGGAGACAGACCTTTTGCACAGAGGAACATGAAATATATGCACAGAGAGTAAGATAAGTGGTTCAAGTAAATGAGAGAAAGGTGGTCCCTAAGAGCGAATATCCTTAGTTCTAGATGTTCTCAAGATGCCTTTTCTATATTTGTAATACACCGAAATAATTCTTATGGTTGCCTTTCTTCCATATTATCAGGTCATAGTCTACTTGAAATTTAGATAAATCTACAAACACACACACACACACACACACACACACACAAATACCAAATAAGGAAGGGGATAAACGAGGGTAAAAGAGGGTATAAACTAATTTCTATACAAAAGACAATCACTGTTTCTTCAATTCTAAGATAGGCTTTTCTATTTGTACTTTTCTTTTTCAGTGCAAAAATATCTGAAATTAAGGTAGTTAATGCTCAATGAACTTATCAGCTACCATGCAGAGGATCATTTGTAATGTAGGTGCCATCTGTTGTACATGAGTAAGCACAGCAGTTCATATAATGAATTCCTTCACGTATTAATGCTACTGAGCTCCTGTTAAATGCATCACTGTTTCAGCAGAGACATAGGGGATTTTACTCAGCATCTTTTATGAAATTATGAGAAATGCTGTTTTGGGGGAGAAAAAGTCCTTCTGGATTTTGACTTGTGAATGTCATGGACTAGATTTCAGTCCTTTCACTCCCTTTGTCTGTACCCTTTGTTAGTACACAATCTTTACAACTATATGTGGTGGCAATTGTTCCAGGTACTGTGAGTAAAAGGATAGAAACAAAGTCCTTACTCTTATAAAACTTATATTTGAGTATGAAAAAAACATGAAAATGTATGCAAATGATCATTTCCTACTTCCTGTATTCCAAACTACTGCTTTGTCACTAGAGTTCATTTATTCCTAAAGGTAACACTTCACAAAGTTAAATCTTAGTTTATATTTGGATCACTATTTATTTCTAAAAATAGCTTCAGAAAGATGACACTATGTTTAAACTTTGGTATAAATAGTTATGTACACAGACATCTGTCCCTTCCCAGGTCAGCCAAAGTGATGAAAGGCGATGGAAATTTCCAAATCTCAGAAGACATCATAGAAGTTTTGAATTTAAGGAATAATGTTGCAAACAGTTAAGGGGTCACAAACAACTATTATGCATTAAAATCTACCCAAATTCTCCAGCTACTTCTCAAGAGAAAATGTTTAATGCCCAGTGATACTTCATTTGATCAATGAGCATAAGAAAACAAGAAATGTAGACTAACGTTTGATTTCATTTCAGGTTTTGCAATGTTATCAAACTCAAGTATGCTGAAGTTAGCACCATCATGAATATGAACTTGAAAAAAAAGCAGTGATCATTGTAGTAGTTTACAACTACTTATGGCCAAAAGTGACTCAGGAGAAAATTTACACTCCTTCTGTAAAAAGACCTAAAGCCGAACATTTACATGTAGTATTCAAGAACAAACTAGTATTGAATCACTTGTATAAATGCTATTTTGGGCTAGGAAATATATTGTGCTTGTTTACTGAATTAAAAAAAAAATTCCCCACAAAAGCATTTTGAATTAATGGCATGACTTACAAATAATAAATCTTGGGTTTTAAGAAACTTGCTGATCTTGCTCTGTGATGCAAAGACTTCAACTTTGATGAATCAATGAACATCAGATGCTTAACACTCACTCTACCTTGTGTCATTCACTGCCAGAGATAAGGAAGGAGGCAATCTGTGTATACTCTGCTCTAATGTTATCTAAAGTGTAGCTGTAGAGAAGAGTTGGAATGCAATCATTTTGCTATCATATTAGAAAGAACATAATTTGCAGGAAAGGATAATTCATGGCCGGGATAATTCATGGCTGGGATAAGTGTGAATGCACTTAAGGGAGAGGTAATGCTTGAAATCAGAGTTTACCATAAAGGACTGGATGGTTTAGACTGACTAAAGACTGTATAAAATGATGAGAAAGTATGAAGGTTAGAATGAAATGCCACCGAAAGGGAAATCAGTTCAGTTCAGTTGCTCAGTTGTGTCTGACTCTTTGCAAGGAAGAGGAAAAGGGGAATATGGGGCACTAACTGGAAACTAAAAACATATATTTTATGATGTCAAGGAAACATTTTCCCATACATTAAAAGTTTCCTACAACAGAAGAACGTCTATACTTGCAGATATATTGAGAACTGTATTACTAAATTCAACTATAGCTACTGTGTTAGTCATTCTCTTTATAGCCTCACCTGGTACTCTTAAGAAAGGTAGACTTAAAACAAAAAAAAAAGAAAGATAGACTTACTTATGGGGTTGGTGAGATGGATAAATCGAATTGAAAATGCATTTCTTCCTCTTAAAATGCATTAAATCCTCAGCATACATGTCCCCTTCTGTTGCCTTATAAGGTGAGGGCTGGGGAGGGTTTTGGAAGGTCTACCCTTTTGAATGGGCAAGTTCAAATTCAATGATTAAACTGAATAAATTGAAACTCAGCTCTTTTAGTTTTTTCAATCTTACAGTAATGTGACAGCTTCTAGGATCAATTTTAAAGCTGAATTAAAAGCAAAATTATGAACACTCAGTTTTATTTTGACTTATGACATGGTAGAAAGAAATCTGAGTACTGAAAACTTGATGCTTTTGAACTGGGTGTTGGAGAAGACTCTTGAGAGTCCCTTGGACTGCAAGGAGATCCAATCAGTCAACCCTAAAGGAAGTCAGTCCTGAATATTCATTGGAAGGACTGATGTTGAAGCTGAAGCTCCAATACTTTGGCCACCTGATGCGAAAAACTGACTCATTGAAAAAGACCCTGATGCTGGGAAAGACTGAAGGCGGGAGGAGAAGGTGATGACAGAGGAGGAGATGGTTGGATGGCATCACCAACTCGATGGATGAGTTTGAGCAAGCTCTGGGAGTTGGTGATGGACAGAGAGCCTGGCGTGCTGCAGTCCGTGGGGTCGCAAAGAGTCGGACATGAGTGAACGACTGAAATGAACTGAACTGATGCCATGGTTATGTCTTGTTTCAGGAGTTTTAACAGCAGCTAAATGTGAACTATCCACTTGGTGTTCTTAGGTTTTATGATACAGGAGAAAATGTCAGATAACAGTAGAACTCAATGTAGATTTAAATTGTTACAACACCATTTCCATATGTCTTCCTTTCTTTACTAGGATGCTGCAAAATTCTTGTCTATTTGATCTTCTTTTATCTCTTGTGCAAGTTCTCCCTATATGAAGGGTTGACTAACCCATTAAAGGTATTTTAAAAGGTTACCCTCCCCATTGAATTCTGCCTTCAGTCAGTCTGCATAAATATTATACCATTTCTGGTCATCAGAGATGAGAGAGAGTTTTCACCTTTAGCACAAAATATATTCATGGGAAGAAAGTGAACAAATCATCACATTACCACAATTCTAACATGTGCATTTGCACATATTAAAGTTTCTGAAATGAGATAAAACTTGCAATTTATATTCACACTTAAGGGAGTGGTGTTTCTTTTAATCCACAACAACTATAATTAAATCAAGTGTATCACTTGATCTCATATGTCTTAAATGTGATAAAATATGATATTAGTTGTTTTTTAGGCCCCAATACTACTGTCATGGTTTGAGGATTAGAACACATTTTATTATTAGGCTAATGTTATGGAATAATATAATGATAAATCTTAAAAGACTATAAAACAGGAGTAGATTTTATAGTAATGTGTATTGACTTTTTATTAATAATGTATTGTCTATTAAAAGAATTTCATGAAGGCAGAATACGTAGAACAGAAATTATAGCTATAACTATAATGACAGTGAATAGTGACTTCAGTGGCATTTAACAGATGTTCTATTTTCTAAGTAACAGCTGCTTGATGCATTCATTGTACCGAGTTAATGATCTGCTAGTGTTATTTCACTTCACAGATAAATTACTGTGCTCTCTTTAAAAAAAAAAAAGATATGCAATTTTTCATGGGAATGATAGTGCAACAGACTTTAGAAATAAGTAATAGTTCTCATGCTTTTACAGCTAAGAGGAGTGATAAGTTGAGGCAATTATCCAGATAATCTAGGACCAGAGGTCAGATCTCTTTAAACTGTGAAAGGTGATTGTTTGAGGGAAAAAAAAAATACAGGACATGATTGGCTAAACTGAACATAGATTTCCTAAGGCTGCTAGTCTTGCATTAGCTAGTAGTTCTCAAACTGTGCTGAATATGAGATTTAGAGACACTGACCTCACAGACCAATTAAATCAGAATTTCTGGGGGTGGGCCCTCAGCACTGATAGGCGTTTAAGGTTCTCAGATGATTTCAATGTGCAACCAACATATGAGAACCACTGGCGAAACAGAATGATACATTCTGTCACATGACTGTCATTACATTTTAGGAATAAAGAGACAGGCAAAGGAGAGAAGGATAACTGAGTAAAGTTATAATTGTTCTTCTTAATGTTGACTATTATAAACATCTGTCTCTGAAATACATGCGAAAATCATGACTTGTTACGTCAGTGACTAGACATCAATTGTTTTGTGTTATTTAATACTCCGAGTTAAACTCAGCATTTATGTACATGTATGTGTATGTGATTCTCACAGGTAACTCTTGTTATCCCAAGAATGGTGTTAAGAAAAGCTAATGGGCAATCTATGCAAAATGGTAAATATGAACTATCTAAAATGCTGAAGGATTTAAACTCTCAAAGGACCAATTATTTTTCTAGGGAATTCTATTTAACCATTTTAATTTTTAGCTAACACTGTGGATATTAAAAGGCTTTAATGTGGCTGAATTATTTAACTGGCTTTGAACTTTTGACTACTGAAATTAAATGAGGAATAAAAGAAATCTGGTAGTGGTTAAAGTCAGTAAATCATGTAGATTAAACTTTGCTGAAGCTTATATTTTCCAAACATAATGATCATCAGAGATATAAACTTCTATTTAATTACATAAATGTTTTTCTATGGTTAGATTTCTGTGTTCAATTCATATGCTAAACAAGTGTAGCCAGTAAAGGGATAATCAGAATTGATTTACTTAAATCTGCCCTCCAGAACGCATCCTCTGTGTCTTCATTTTAGAACATTATTTACTCATTATTCCGTCAGGACACTGACTACTTAGCCAGATGGAGACACCTTTTGCCACCCTCCTTGAAGGCTAGATACGATCATGTGACTGAGATCCGCCAAGTGGAATTTTGGCTTATTTCTTACAGCCACCCACCCTGCACTTAAATACATGAATGTCATTGATTCCCAATAAATAGAAATATAATGTTTGTTTTTGTGATAGGAGGTAAAGAAAGGTAAGGCCAATGTAACTGTTAATCTGTAGGCTCTGTACACTCACTACTCTAATGATTTCACAATATATATGATCCTGAACTAATAACTGTAAGTCAATATCTTATCTCTAACAAATCTATTCTGAACAGGAAGAAAAAAGAAATTCATTCTCTACTATTTATTTGAAAATAAAGTGTGGTTAATAAATTTTTACAGCTGCTTGTCATCTGAATCTACACGGAGAAAATCAGTTTTCAGTTTTGGTCTCACTGTAGGATTAAGTTTTTACATAATGCAATTAAAAGTTCCCAAATTTGGTTAATCAAGATATACATCTTGCATTAAAAATAAAGCACAGATCTCTTAAACATCTAGTTAATGCAGGCATGTGTTTGTTAAATTTAAATAAAAATTGAGGGAGTGGGTTGTGCCATGATTTATTTTTTTCTAAATACCCAGTGGCTTGGCAAAGTTTAAGGTGAAAGCACACTATTAATATCAACTATTTAGTTTGTAGCAACATATTTTCAAGTAATCCAGTAATATGTCAACTGAAAAAAAATTAAGCTATTGGTGCTTTGACCTTGAATTGTAAAGCACAATGATGTCTGATGGTTGTCAGAGAAACATTAAGAATCTACAAGCTGAGGATTAAAGGAAACCCAGGGCTGTTTGGTGGTAGAAATGACAGGGGCCATAAAGACCCCGTGAGATTTTTTTTCTTTTTTTATGATTGTGACATCAATAATTTGCTTATCTTGCAAGTTTGTCTAGCCTAACTGTCTGAAGTCTCCGCATCTTTGCCTTCCTCATGGCAGTGGGGTCCATCTGAATAGTTTCTCTTAAGCAAGCTAGGGAACACAGAGTCACATCTTTGAACTGACTCTCTGACTAATGATGTATATACATATATATATATATATATATATATATATATATATATATTTTAAGGACTTATTCAGAACCTACCTAATACTAAATAACCATTGGAGAAAATTTGGCTGAAGGTTCCCATTGGCTTTATTGTGATTCTGAAATATACAGTTCAACTACTGATGAATTTTTGAGGGAAGGGAAAATGAAGCATGATAATAATTATGGTTCTATTATTGTACATTAACAGCTCCTTAAAAAATCATATTGCACTATGTCTTCATATATGCTAAAAATAACCTTCAGTGATATAGGTTTTACCTTTCCCCAGGCAACTTCAGAATCCAAATTACTAGGCATTCCTTCAACTGCTGATCTCTTTGTCAGTTCCATATCTGTAGCTGCCAGCCATTCTGTCAAGGCATTCATTTCCTTTCGCATCTTACGGGACAATTTCAAGCATTTCTCCAATTGTTGCTTTCTTTCTGTTACCTGAAAAGAATGACCATAAAATGTCATTTGGTTTACTTTTTCAATTCAAGTTTAATTATAGCTACTTAATTAGAACTTTCATATTTTTGTCATTTTAAAATAACCTTCTTCTTGCTTGAAAAAAAATCATATTTTAGAAACATTACATATTCTGAATATTAATAGTGAATAAGCACAGTCTATGAAAGATGAGATCCTTTATCCAAAAGGTAGCATCCTGTATCAGGGAGAAAGAAAAGCTACTACTATTTTCTCTAATATAAATAAAATTAATTTATGGCCACAGTTTTTAAATAAATAAAATGATATAAGTCAAACCGAAGACATGGCATGTTTCTTTTAGAAAACCTTCAGTCATCTGTCAAAGAGATGGGCAACATTTACAATCCTCTATATACAAATGAAGCTTGCCCTTGCTGTTAAGTAATCAAAATGGGCAAAGAATACTATTTCTCTCCAGAGGCAAAGGTATTTGTAAAATATTTAGAACAGTCGATTTTACTGTCATCGCATCTTTGAAATGTCTCATTTTTGCACAAAAACAACACAAAGAAGAGGTCACTTTCTCCTTAAACATTAATTTATCATTTAAAGAGAGTAAAAAAGTTGGCACCATAACACAATTTTACTCTTATTAATAGAGAAAATCATGACTTAATCCTGTGTTTCAGTTCTCAGTGTTTAAAACTAAGACTCTCAAAGTCAAATTCTTCCATGTTCTTACACAGAGAATGAACAAATTTGTGTTTCTCCACCACTCTTCTGATGTTCTTACATCTTAGGAATGGGTTGGTTGGCTTTAATAAAAAGCCCAGAATCTATTATCTCCTGATATATATGTGGGTGTGTAAACAAAAATAAAATAAATAAAAATCAATGATATATTAGCTCTGAGAAGATATACACACATATATATTTTGTTGCTGTTTAGTCTCTAAGTCATGTCTGACTCTTTAGGTACCCCATGGACTGTAGCCCACCAGGCTCGTCTGTCCACGGGATTTCCCAGGCAAGAATACTGGAGTGGGTTGCCATTTCCTTCTCCAGGGGATCTTTCTGACTCAGAGATCAAGGTCTAACCCACATTTCCTGCTTAGAGATGGATTCTCTACCACTGAGCCACCAGGGAACCACCCCACCCCCCATATATATACATATATATAATTTACAACCAATAATGCAGCCATAAGCATGAAGAAATGCCACAGTGAAGATTTTTTTAATTAAACACTGCAATGAAAATAAATACTCAACAAATACTCAACAAAATTTGCTTCTTTAACAGAGGTGGGCACACATTAAAAAAAAAATTAGCTGTTGAAGCTGCAGATTCAATGTTTGTTTTACAGATTTTTCCTTCTATTCTTCCCTTCAGAGAAGTGAAAGCATTTGCCATTTTGAGTGTAAGGATTTTATTTGTGTGCAGCAGGAAAAAATATACACCTTCATGGTGTGTTTCTATGCATACTTATTTTTTCTATGCATTATTGATAGAAAAGAATTCTAGATTCAGTATTTCAAAGAAATTCTATCTTCCCAGAGCTCATGCTTTATTGATTTTTATTTATTTGATTTTGTTTATATCCAGCTAAATAGTTTTTTAATAAAACAGGAGATACTGCCGTCTTAAGGAAAACTGAGTTTTACACTTTTTCTTTTTTTGGTGGAAAAATGATACATTTAAAATAGTGCCACCTGCAGTAGAAACTTTCAGCCATCACCATTTCATGAACACTTAAACATGTACGTGAGGTTGACATGAATATTGAGATTTTGAGTATGAGCATTTGAGGTTGCAATGAGCATTGTTATTTATGTATATTGTCATATAATTTAAAGTATACAGGGGCCATATAAGGAACTGTAAGTATTATTATATCTATGTTCCTAGGTGTAATATCTCTTGATGAAATGAAATAGATTTAGATAAGAAACTCTTTGATTTTTAGTCAATGAACAGCTAAGCTAAGTTGGTGATACTAATCAAACTAATAAAACTGTTTTAAGAAAAGGGTCATGGATGGAACTGAAATCCCCGCAAATCAATAAGTTGAAACCTAAGCCCCCATGTGACCTGTATTTGAATACAGGGTGTTTAGAAAGTAATTAAGGTTAAATGAAGTCATGAGGATGTGACCCTAATCAGACAGGATTATGGCCCTACTAGCAGAGGAAGGAAAAGTTATCCCTCCCACTCTTCCCATCCCTCTCATCCTCTTCTTTCCTCCCCCCTGCCCACCAATCCCTCCTACTCTCCCTCCCTCTCCATCATGCGAGAACACAGTAAGAAAGTGACTTTTTGCAAGCCAGGATAAGGGTCCTTACTAGACTGACACCTTGATCTTGAACTTCTAAGCCTCCAGAACTGTGAGAAACAAAATATTCTTGTTTAAGCCACCTACTCTATGGTATTTTATTATGGCAGCCTAAGCTGATTAATACAAAAATTTATATATAAAGACTGAACTGAGGCAAGTAAAAATGATATAAATTCTGAAGATGATTAAAATAGAATGGCTTGCATATTTATATAAAATGATAATATATTAAGATATCCCATTTCTTTGGTTTTCATAAAATAAAACCATCACTGCTGAAGGTGCTTTGAAGATTTAAATATGGACAATTTTTTTCTCAGAAAGGGAATATGTGACTGTGCCATTTTCTGTAATATGATATGTATACATATTCCCTTTACCACTAATGTTTCTAAATCTTTATTTCAAAAATAAATGTCTGCCCTACATTTTTTGCAGTGTTCTGTCATGTTTTTAAAACTAAGTATGATTTCTTAGTAATCGTTCATTTTGCTTTAATGATACTACTTAGTGCTAAATGGGTAGATAAACATACATTTTCAAATATGTATTTTAAGGAATAAATAGGTCTTTACATCCTCAGAAGAACCATTCACTCCTTAATAATAATCAACTCAGGGCACTAATAGTCTTCTAATGTCATTTTTACTGTTCTAAATTCTAACTGATTTATTCTACATTATTTATGTTGAATTTACTCTTGCAAAGACCTTGTACAAATTCTTCAAAGCAAAGAAAAGGCACAGGCAATAATTTATACTTGAAAAAGCAGATTCTTTCAAAATATGTGAAATATAAATTAGAAGGTTTTAAAAATAAACTAAATACTTTAGATTTTTTTTAAGATATCAATTGTGCATAATTACTGACTTGCTTAAGAATATATAAGGAAAGTGGGAAGTGACCAGTGTTTATGGTTTCAGACTGTCAACTAATAAGAATCGTTATTTTCAGATTTTCATTTGAATCTAAAATTCACTTTCTCTCAGTGATAAGTAATTTACAATTCATAGCTTTAGGTCATAACCTTCAATCTACTTTCAGGGTGCAATATTACAATTCTGCCTTTGCATGGCTAGTTCTCAAATGTGGGCAAGCATTTACATTTGTGTCTAAGATGAAGTGACAATTTTCTCATTGATGTTGTTATATTAAATAAAATTGGGAACCTGAGCTGTAAAAATATTAATAGACTCTTTTCTCCCCATTGGTCTCAGTAAAGCTGTTTCTATGTAGAATGTATCAACTCCATTGTACCTAAATATAAGTAGGCATCTTAGTTTATAAAATTACCACGCTTCCAGTCATCACAAGTAAATATATACAATGAAAAGAAGGGACAAGTTTATTTTTTTTTGATTCATTATTCTAACAATCTTTATTTCAATAGTAATTACAATAACTTGAAGATAATACCTTGATTATTTAAAAGTTTTTTGTAACTTAAAAATGAACTGGTATTAAATTATAAATTAACAGATATTCTTTATATGCACAGATTATTTATAAGTAAAATAGAACACTGAAATGTTGATTATTAACCATAATTTAAGTCTATGTACTTTTTTTCCCATTTATTTTTATTAGTTGGAGGCTAATTACTTTACATCATTGCAGTGGTTTTTGTCATACATTGAAATGAATTAGCCATGGATTTACATGTATTCCCCATCAAGTTTAGAACAATGGAACTCTTTCAGAACTATCTGATGGACCAATAAAAATGTCTCTGAGTTTTATGTATTTTTTAATATGGACTTGAATGTAGAGACTCACTGATTAATTATTGTTTCTTAATAAGAATCAAACATGGGAATATACCTCTATGTATGTATATATGTCTGTATGTATATATATCTGTATCCATGTATCCATGTATCTATCTGTAGGAAGTAAATGATTTAGACTTTCTAACGTATCAATCGCACATAATTACCGCCTCTTGCTTTACAATCTAGAAGGAAAGTGGGAAGTGGCCAGTGTTCCTGATTTAAGCACGCACCTTTGCTCCCAGCTCATTATAATGCAACTTCAAAGCCGTTACTCTTTCATCAAGTTCCTTAGGGTTTTCCGTCTGCTTCTTCTGTACAATTTGCCGTCCAGTTTTAATCACCATTTCCACTTCAGACTTCACTTCACTCAGGCTTTTATACAAGTTCTAAGTTAAAACATAAAACAAAACAGAACAATAAGCAATAGTGTCTGACTTATACTATCATTAATAAAAAAAAAATGAGTAGAGATCACCTGAATTGCTTTTTTACGGTTTCAGTTTTAACAGAGTAGCATTTTGCAGCTGTGGTCAATATCTAGCTTTTGAAATTTCTATTGATTTAATGCTTCTAGTTGTAATTACATGTACATACACAGGCATGCATATCGTGCAGTTATGCTTACCAAAGTAAGGGTACATCATGCATGTATTTAATTCTTCATCCCATGTTTACAAAGATCATTTTTAAAAGCTATATGACTTCTATTTTAAATTTTGTAATTATATAATTCTAGCTGTGACATGGGAAAATTTCATTTACTCATTCCCCAGGTGTTTACTGAATGCCTATTTATACTAGACAGTATTTGAGTCACTGGAGAATCAGTGCTGGCCAAGCTAGACACTGTTCTCAAGGTGCTACGTTATAGGCAGGTTCAAATGTCTGAATTGCCAGATTGTAATTCTAACACATATTAAACCATATAAAAGGAGGGAATATAATCTTAAATGTTAATTAAATGATATAAATTTATTTTCTTAATGGAGCTATTCAATTAAATGTAGAATAATATAAAGTATTATGTAAAACTCTTAAGTACATCACAACTATAAAGAACACATATATTGGTTCACAACAGTATACTGCTGTAACAAATTCTCATTAAACAAGTGTCATAGCTTTCTCTTGTAGCTACTTTACTTGGAAAGATATGTATGTTTGAATGTTTGTGTGTATGTATGCATGCATATGTGTACACATGCATATGTATACAGGGATACGTAATAGTTTACATTATATATTGTCACATTAAGTTGTTCAATGGTGAGTCTGAACAACAAATACTTCTTGGCACTAAGAAATAAAGTTGCTAGTAAGTATTACAAGTACCGTTATTTGGGAGTTAGAATAGAAACTGAGTATGCTTTTTTTTTTCCTTTTCAGTTTAAAATCAATTAAAACAAAGCATTTTGTGAACTCTGAGCAATTATCCTCTTCATTAAGGCTACATACATAAACTATTTTCACCTTAATTCCCCCTTTGGTGATCACTTGAAGTTGTTATTATTCCTTTATTAATACTTGTGAGCTCTTTCTGAGCTTTTCATTTTTTTAAATTCATTTACTTCTTTTAGGAAATATAAATATATTTGGGTATTTATAAACATATAAATCATTAACTGTCACACTGGGATTCAATTCCTGAATTCTGGAATCCGAGATATTTCCAAATGACTATTTTAAATGTTAAAAAAAAACTTTTTAAAATGTTAATGATTTACTTTTATGAAAATGAAAGTCGCTCAGTCATGTCCGACTCTTTGCAAACCCATGGACTACATATTCCATGAAATTTTCTAGGCCAGAATACTGGAGTGGGTAGCCTTTCCTTTCTCCAGGGGATCTTCCCAACCCAGGTTTCCTGCATTGTAGGCAGATTCTTAACCAGCCGAGCCACAGTACTGATAGCCATTTTCATCACTTCATTCAATAGAGAAAATATTTTTCATTAAGAAAGAGAAATAAGTCTTTACATGTGTTCAGGTTCATGTTTTTAAGACTTTAACAGAACAAAAATCTTGAAAGCAAAGACCATGATTATGGTATATGTAACTGAGCATCTTAATAATGAAAAATACAAAAGTTGTAAAGAAAATATATCCTTATGGAAGGATGACCTGAATTGGTCCTGACATTTAAACCAGAAGGAGAAACAGATGATAAAGAATCCACCTGCAATGCAGGAGACCTGGGTTCAATACCTGGGTTGGGAAGACCCCTGGAGAAGGGGAAGGCTACCCACTTCAGTTTTCTTAGGTTTCCCCAGTGGCTCAGATGGTAAAGAATCCACCTGCAGTGTGGGAGACCTGGGTTTGATCTGTGGTTTGGGAAGATCCCCTCGAGAAGAGAAAGGCTACCCACTCCAGTATTCTTGCTTTGAGAATTCCATGGACAGAGGATCCTGGCGGGCTAAAGTCCATGTTGTCACAAAAGAGTCGGACACAACTGAGCAACTTTCACCTGAGAAATAAAGGTGACTTGTTTGGATCACCTGAGAAACAGACTGAGGAAACACTTTAATCTGGTTCCTCTGTACTGAGCTGAGTCAGGGCATAGTAATACTCAGCTGTAGGTAGCGTTTTTTTTTTTTTTTTCCAGTTCATTCTGACTAGCAGAAAAGATTTATGAAGTACCATTAGAGACCTGTTCCTAGAAGAATGAACAGCTTGCCCTCTGTGAATATATTTAGCCATGATGATAATGTACTTAGGTCATTTTGTTTTCAATTTTTTGAAAAAATATAAGATGACATATATTCCCATGTATTCCCACTGTTACTTATCTAATATATATGCTGCTGCTGCTAAGTCTCTTCAGTCGTGTCTGACTCTGTGCAACCCCATAGACGGCAGCCCACCAGGCTCCTCTGTCCCTGGGATTCTCCAGGCAAGAACACTGGAGTGGGTTGTCATTCCTCTAATATATATAACTGTATTCAAAATTTCTTTTGGGGGTAAGAATATTTATAATAATGATGCCACTAAAATGCAGCTTTCATTACTAAGTAATATTGCTGAATAAAAATAATTCCATAATTTTTCACAAAAAACATTTTTGTTTACAAAGAATGATATTTTCCCAGTCACAATGATATGATGGCAATGTACCTAAGGGTTTATTTTTCATTTATGTTATGTAATAGAAGCAGAAAATACTTAAGCACAAAGTACCCAATAGATAAACTTTTTCCCTTTAATTTTTAATAGCACTCTGTTTTCTATGTGGATTTCTACATTGACACCCCGAGTACACTTAGATTTATATAAATACTTGTATTACTCTACTAGATGCCCTCATAATTCAGCTCTAAGTTATCAGAGAAGTCGTCTGGCTTGGTGAATTTTCAATAACTGCAACAAAGAACACTACTCGAAATCCTTGTAGTGAAGATTTACACTACAGGCTAATCATATCTTCCATACCTATTTATTCTTTCTTGGTTGTCTGGCAGAATTTCACTGCATATCCAGGCCTGACTTTAAATGGAAAGATACTAGGATATGGAGTAAGCAAGCCTGGCTTGGAATCTTGCTTTTGCTTTGCACTCAATGTTTGTCTTTAGATTCTCTCATTTAACCTGTGGCCCTGAGAATTAAGGGCTTGCCTGGCAGCTCAGCTGGTAAAGAATCCACCTGCAATGCAGGAAACCCCAGTTCCATCCTTGGGTCGGGAAGATCCCCTGGAGAAGGGAAAGGCTACTCACTCCAGTATTCTGGCCTGGAGAATTCCATGGACAGAGAAGCCCGAGTCAGACATGACTGAGCGACCTTCACCTGAGAAGTAAAGATGACTTGTGTGGATTGCTTTGCTTCCTTGGCACTCATTTCTAGAATCGTTTTTACTATTGCAGATAATTTCGCTGTTGCTATCTCCAGACCAGTATGTTCTTCTTGAAGATTTCCATTTAAAAATATTTTCAAAGTTCCATAAGAATTAAACAAAGGCGATATTCTGCAGAGTCCTTGGAAAATTATAGACTCAAAGGAGACATTTTCAGAAGAGATATTAAGTGGCTACTATTTCAATAATAGTTCTTATTCTTGTCTCTCAATTCACTTGTGCACATTTTTGTTCTTATACCAAATACTGAGGAGCAGCTGCATATCTGCCATCAGCAATACGTACCACACAATGATTTAACTGTGACTGTACTACTTCCTGTTCAACACTCTTTGTTTCCAGTGCAGGCAAGTGCATCTTCACTTCATCTAAAATCATCTTACTTTCCTGTAGACGCTGCTCAAAATTGGCTGGCTTCTGGAACAATCGGAATTTCATGGAAACATCTTGCATTTTTTTCTGTAAAGACAGTGTAAGAAAACATGGATTTGATTTTGCCTTCAGAACAACAACCAGTCATACTTTTGTCAATGTATTTTCCTTTATTCTGGAAGACATACAAGGATAGAAATAAAAACAAACTAAAGCAACACTTTTTCCATTTGTCCAGCACAAAGAACCCATGCATTTGGGAGAAGAATTCAGCAATCATTCTTAATGTGATACTAAATAAAAGACAAGTTATTCACCTATTTTATCCTAAAAATGTACAATTCAAAACAGCATGTATCATTTATATATCATTTGTAGCTTTCAAATAATGCCCTTAACCTCAATCTGTTAATAAGCAAGTTATCTAATGTAAGCAATATTTTAATATCCAACTAAAACAAGGTCCTTAGTTAATGGAATAATACGTACCTGTGCCACTTCAATTTGGGATAGTACCCGTTGAGCAGTTTCCTTTCCTTGGTAATGTTTCTTCATTTCTTCTAAACTGATCTCATGACTCGTCAAATCAGATTGGATTTTCTGTTGGGAGTACAGCATTATAAGTCAGCATGCTCTGCAAGTTATTGCAAAGAACAAGTCACTTTCCAAGAAAATGAAATTCAAAAACTCTCTCAAAACATTATTACAATGTAGCTTCTTACAACATGACAATAGGCAGATTTTTTTTACTTACCAAACATTACAGAAAATGAAATGACTTAGCTATCTCCTATTGAGATTAGTAATACAAATTAATTATCCTTTTGAATCAGTGTTCATGAACAGCTATTTCAGATATAATTTTTAGTAGGAAGTATCTATTTATTTTGAAGAAAAGCATACTTTACTGAATCATTTTTCTGTCAACCTGAAACACTGTAAATCAATTATACTTCAGCAACAACAACAAAAGAAAAGCACAGTTTAAAAAGAAAAAGTTAAAAGGTCATGGACTTGATAGAGAAGAACAGAAGGAGGGCTTGGAAGAGATGTGGTTATTGTCTAACTGGTCACAAAAGTCCTGGCTAAGGGAAATATGGACTTGTATACAAATCTTTGAAATGTTAGTTCCAGGATGAAAGAATACTATCACGGTCCCATGTCTTTTTTAAAAAAAATATGGTTGTTTTGCATATGACATACATTTTCACAATTTTAAGAATCTATCATCTTGTTGTAGTTTCTTATAATTTCTGAATTATTTCCATAAGCAGGTGTCAATATCACATGTGTCAGATGGACCTTCCAGGGACTGAGGGAAGCTTCAGAGCAGATTACTGAAAGGGTGGGATGCTCTCCCAGGTAAAGCCTCAGACAGTGATGCAGATGTGACAAGGTTTATGTTAATCCAGTGAGGAATCCTGGAAAAGCCCCACATTGAACAGACAGCCAAATCCTTCATTCATCTCATGCTCAGTCACTGGTTGGGGCTTTTCTAGAAAGAATGTGATCTCAGCTCAAAAGCTCGGTTGGATTCGGAAGGGGCTGGAGTTGGGGGCTGTGAGCTTCACTGAAGGTGATCTGAGCTGCCCAGTTCTGTGATCACTGTAAGCACAGTTTCTAACAGACACACCCAGGAAGTATCTACTTATATCTAATATGTGAAAATTACATTCTTTTACCTTTGAATTTACATTCAAATCTGACAAAAGGCAAGATGTTAGCCATTATTAATTAAAAAAAAAAAGCTACCTGTTGCAGCAATGTCATAATGAGGAAGTTGCATGTGGACAATATTCCTTAATAGTGATCTTTACTCAGAAATTCTGGGCTATATATTTCAGTTAAATTTCAAACAAACTCTGTATCTAGGAAAGGAAAGCTAAATGTCTCGACTGCCTTGCTTTCTGATACATACTTAATAGCTTCCTACAGAGATTGATTTTTAGACTTTAAATAACCAAAAAATATTTCTATATTTTCTAAAATAAGAAAAGACATGTATGATCAAGTTGTATTTAAAAGAATGTTTGTATTTGACTTATACACTTCTGAGCCAGTTACAGGAGTGGGTCACATCCTGCAGTGTGCAGAGGCAAAAACGATAAAATCATTCACCTCTTCCTATCAGATCCAGCAAAAATTAGCTACTGGTCAAATTATACTAATTTAAATGTAAGTCATTGCCAGATTATAATAAATAAGAGAAGAAAATGATTAACTTATACCATAAAATTTTCATGCACAACAATTTGTATAATACATATTAGCATAACCTAATTTACACCAATTGGAGTCAATTGCAGTACATATTACTGAAAAATAACACCAGTTTGCTTAGCAGTTACCAAAGAGAACTACAGCCCTGAAATGAGTAATAAGAATTATGCCAAGAAAATGGGTTAAGTAGTGAAGGAGTTTTTCAGAATACAAGGTTATAAATGCACAGATACACCTTGATATTAATACTTAACATATTGATCCTAACAATTATAAAGGTAAAGTGCCAATTATTTAAGTGATTAGAATTCTGGTTTAAAGTGGAGCAAAGACTCAAGCAAATCTATATATATATATTTTTTTTTACTGTATATAATATCTTCAGTGGTTGAATCACGACATTCCATAAGAAATAGCAGTATGCACATATTCTCTAGGAACCAAAGAATTTGGGGTTAGGGGTCCATATTAGTGCATCACTGGGGGCATCAGATGCTTTAGGGAGTTTATGGTCTTGACTTCTTAGGTGGAAAATGCTCACCCCTTCAGAATGGTGGATCACTAACAACCATGTCTCTGTCACATATTTGGCCACCCCCAAGACATGTAATTATAGCATGAGGAATGCTTATGCCCAGTTAGGTCCATCAGGTTCTCTCTCAGCACTGACAGAAGAAAGTGTGGTCAAGCTCTGTGGGTGCATGGAACTTTCTTACATATGAGACCATGCTTATGAAGTCCCTAGTTTGCACTGTTAGTTTAGGAAGAGCAAAGGCCCATGACCAGAGAGAGAGAAAAAGAGACACATAAACAAATATACTGAAGGTTTTCAAACATATGCTGAAGTAGACAGCAACTGCCAAAGATGGCTGCAACAAGAGTGCCAATACCATATGCTCCTCTTACCATTCCCCCATTAAGAGGCAGAATTTATTTCCCCACCCCTTTAAATCTAGGTTAGCCCTATGACAGCCTTGACTGGTAAAACAAAGCAAAAGTAATGATTTGTCATTTATGGGAAAAGTTCTTAACTGAGCTAGCAGCTTTCGCTTCTGCCCTTTTGGAACATCCAACTCTTAGGAACCCATCTGACATACTCTGAAAAGCCTAAGCCACACAGAGAGGCTGTGGAGAAGTGTTTCAGTAAAGAGTCCCAGGACAGCTTTCACCTCATAGGGAACATCATCTTCTAGACATGAGGGAGCCATATTGGATGTCCAGTCCATTTGAGCTCACAAGTCACCGTGGTACGCGCCCACAAATAAAAACAATCACATGGGAGATTCCAAGAGAAACCATCCAGCTGACCCTTCTCAATTCATAAACCATTAGAGAAATGGATACTTTGCTGTTACAAGTGACCAAAACACAGGCTCTAATCCTTTCCTGAGTAAAAACTTTATGCTTACTCTTGATTTCCATGAGGCATTCCTATGTCCTTATGACCATCTCCCCTCCCTCATTTTTGTTTTTGCTTTAGTTAATTCATGTTGCTACTTGTACTTAACTGTCCTAAAGAGTATACTGGATGTGCAAGGAGATGAGAGCTTTAAAAACAAATGCATTCTTGAATGAGGGAAGATGAGGTATGGACAGGGCACTAAACCACATGAAGAGTTAGCAGAACTGAAATAATGTGTAGATAATTAAAGCTCATCCTGAAATATAACTAGAAATACAGGTGGGAATGAGGTATTAAATAACCCCATGTATTAAATGAAAAAAAAATTGTAGTATTTTTAATCTGAATTTAAAGTTTAAATTTTAAAAGTGATCAGAATCACAAATAGTTTTACTGCTACTACTTACTCTAATTAATAAAGCAATTTATAATGAGAGAATGCTTCCATAAACTCTGTAATCCTTTGATATGAATTTGTGTTTTATTAATCATCATATAGAGCTACACATGTGCGTGTATCTTTCTTTTCAAAGCAGCAGCATGCACCTGTACAAACAGCCTTTATTTTGGTGCACTCAACCAATAGAGGGAAGTAGAAAGGGAGGGCCAGGAGCTGACCATGGAGAAGAGAGAAATTTAAAGGATGGAAGAAAAAAGGAAACACTGAAGAAAAGCAACAGTCTAAGAGAAGGATAAAAGGGACAACCAGGAAAGAGAGAGGTTGCCACTGAAATCAAGTATGTGAGAGTTTTAAGAATGAGCGAGAGGTGGACAATGTCAATTTTGAAACAGATCAAATAAGAATAAGTACTATTAATAATAAGGGCATATTAGCTGGTCAATGAGCACTGTAGCGAGGAGAGAGTCAGTGGATGTTGAAAGTAGTAATCAAATTTTCAAGGGCTGAAGCCTGATTAAGGACAAGGAAAAGCCCTTATAAAAACATTTTACATCAGTTTTGAAGACTTCTCTCCACATGAAATGTAGGACAGTAGAATTGAACAAGTATTAAGGCCATGTGAAAGGAGCCAGTGGATGAAGCATTTAAAAAAAATGCATGGAGTTAATGTATTATAAAACACCCTGGAGGAAATGAGAGAAAATGGAGTGAAGGGCAAAAATCTATAATCAATGGGAAATATTGACAGGTAGAGGAGTGCCACTTTTTCAGAAGCCAAAGGTAACACCTCAAGATGATTCTGGATGTGGAGAAGTGCAAAGTGCAATGCTTCCTACTTGATGCTCTCTGGGAATCAGCATAGATAAAGCTGGGTTTAAATCTCAGGGTTCTGATTTGCCACCTGGTCAACAGAACACTCTTTCCAGCCTCCTTCGAGCGAGGGGAGTTGGTCATAAGAACACAGCAATGCTTCATGGAAATCAAGGTGAGCATAAACTTCTCATCTCTAAACTTATGGTCATAATGACAAGCCAGCAATGAAGCATGGCCATCATCCATAGGCAGAGTATCTGGGAAAATTCTCATGTCTGCAGTAGACAACTCTATTGGTTTTGGTAATGAGATTAGAGGCAGTTGTATAAGTAAATCCCTGCTCAAGTTTTCTGCACAAATATCTGTTCATGACTTTTCAGTGCCATTATATATCATTTATTTATGAACACAATCCCCTTGATATCTTCTGAGGATGAGAGGGTTGGTGAGGAATCCAAAGGAGAGTGAATAGTCATTGTGGAAATCGAGAAAGGAAAATGATGAGGTGAAAATTAAAAAGACATTTAGAGAGAGCAGAGGGCTGAAATTCTATACCTCTAACAGGATCTGTTCACATGTTTTTAACTCATTAATCCATTTGGCACTCAAGGTGTATATTACAAAGGAAACAAAGAAATATACACATAATTCCATCAACCTTTTATACTAGAGAGGTGAGAGAAGAGCCCTGAAGGAAAAACCATCATCACTGCCAAAGTAGACATGTGTGTGACCTTATATCTGAACAGTTCACAAACAGTACTT